AAGTCTCGGGACGCTACACAGCAAGTGAACTATACCTTAAGCGTCTACTATTTAGATTTGCTAAGCTTACTAACATGAGATTTCTAACGCTCTGCAACGAGTTAAAGGAAACAAAATCCTCAATCTAATGTTAACTCTACCACGCATTAAGTACTGCGCGGTCAAAATAAGGGTTTCATATGTCATAACGTTTGAATTTTAAGGCCCGAGGCTGTTAATATAACACAAAATGTTCTATTCTTTTATAAAATCAGCAACTTATTAAAGTGATAGAACTATGCCACGTATCTCTACTAGGTGCAGTATTTTTAAAACATGTCAAAACTTGGGCAATTAAAGCAGCTTCAATCTGTATTGTCATGACAAATATAGTTAGCCTTAGTCTTTTCAGACGAAATTTACTATAAATTCGTTCGTATCTAAAACATCTGCAAATAATTAACCTGATATTGCAGCGCCTATGCTATGGTGATATATAAAAAACTGTCTTTGGTACAGCTAATTCGTTGCGACACGTTCCCCATTTAGTTTTTCCGCTTCGGCCTTTAGGGCCTTCAGAACAATTGGTTGATTTGATAACGGTGTGCTTTTTAGTCGACGCCAACTTGGATGAGTACGGGTTTTGGAAAGTCTGGATTTCTAAATTGACCACTCTCGTATTGCGATGTTAGTGTAATACGATAGTGGTTTATCCCTCGGTTCTGGTGAGGTGCCACCTTTGTACTTTGAATTAGCCCCCATGTGCCTCGCTGGGTGGGCTGGCTTTTTGGGCCGTGCCAATAGCCCGGACACCTTCTCCATGCTGAATATATATTCTGCCCGAGTACTTTGTCTTCTTTCGTCTTCAGGGAGTCCCGGGAAGCTACATAAGCTATCCGCAATCATTCTAAGAGTTGAAAAGTTATCAAGGCATGGTCTACGTACTAACGACTCACAATATCTGCTAGAATTGTTTAGCATAGTTTGAAGTAATTGCAGCAAAGCAATAAAATGTCAATACAATTTCCCACAAAGTCGATCATATGCACGTGGGTACCGGAATCCTAATCCTAGCGGCAGACCTGCAGCCTAATAGTTCAATTGCACACTTTCTTTATATAACGTAAGGAAATGGTGTTTTCATAAAGTGAGATGCTTTATAAAAGAAGTCAAACTTTTTCAATCGTAAATTTACCAGAACATCCAGTTTTCTTCTAGATATCGCCAGCTACGCATAAGATAAAAGTCCAAACACCAAAATTAACTGGCAACTGCTAAGCAACACTAATTACCTTTATTTTCATTGTTATATCGTTTGAAAACACGTCTTTTTCGTTGGAGTGGCAACTTTGACGTTGGCGTTTTGAACTTGTCCCCGGTGCGGTGCTCTCGGGTTACACTCGTACAAGAGGATTGAGGCATGACGGTAAATTTGATCCTGGATGCTTTCGACAAATATCGCCAAAATGAATCAGTTGACACGTTTGTGTGTTCAATGGAAGTAAATTGCCTGCATGGTTTTACCTAATTAGCACATCTAGGAAATTATGGACAAGCTCGAGAAAATTACTTCCTTGGAACCAGACACATTGGACCGACTAAATGCTTTTTTCTCGTTTGCTTTATGCTCACCAAGTGGCTTGCAACTGAGATCTATTGCGCTTAAAGTCATTTTAAATTATGGTAAGTTCTTTAAAATCGTCTTCGAGTTTTTCAGCGGACGATATGTTAAGCCGATATGTCCTACTTGCGAAGTTTTTAATACTTAAGCCGATTCTTCACGGAATCTTTAATTGGTCTGAGGAAAAAATTTTTCTCGAGGTTGCCTCCTTTTAGGTTTTGATATTTCCATGTATAGGCGTTAGCAGCATTTTATAAATGTACTTTCGAAATTAATTATATGCCCTTGGAATGTGGGGATGATATTTTCGTTTGTGGCGTCAGGCAGGTGCTATCGATACTAAAGGCTCCCTACAATAAGGAAAAGGTTGAATTTGCTTTGGGCATTCTTGCAAATATATCTCAAAAACACTCCGTAATTCACAAAGTACTGCAAAATAGGGTATGTGGTTTCTAGACTTTTTTAATAGAAAAGGATGACTTTGATTTGCTGCGGAAGCTACTTCTCCGCATAATGAATTCTGAGTCCTCTACGCAGATGGAAACTGTCCTTTCTATGACTATCATTTTTCACTTGTGGGGAACTAAGGATAAGGTGCGTTCTAAATTTTAAAAATATTTCGTCTTATCATAGTTTTTCGATAGTCGGAATGCTCACGCATCACTTCAAGTCCTTTTCAACATTTTTCTAAGTGGTAATGCCTCTCTGGAAAGCTTGTATGCGGGCGATATTCTCATTGACTTTTGTGCTAATTCTACTTCCTTCTCCTTGATCAATTCGTAAGTCTCATTTAGCTTGTTTTTACCGTCTTAGGCATCCGAAACTTAAGCATGTTATGATTGAGACTGCTAAGCAACTCGTGTCAAGAAACGCAAAACTCATTCACAAAGTACACATTACGTTTGAGTTTTCATAAGCCACCATTAGATGTTAGGTTTTCTGACGTGCCTACTTAAAAACAGTGCGGAACTTTGTGCTTGCTTGCGAAGCCTAATCTTTCATTGGGACAAGCCTGAAGGAACTAATGCCATCTTTACTGGGATTAGCAACCACCTTATGCAGCCCACAGATCATCTTCTCTCCGCTTCTACGGCCGCCTTCATTTACAATCTGGAATCATCGGTTTGTTTGCATTCCTACTCTGTATTTCAATCTCGACTTTCACCTTAGTTTTCAAAGGATATCTCTGATGCTGACTACAACACTACACTACTTCAACTTCTCACTCTTGTTACTCAAGCCCTCTCACTTCGACTTGAAAATGGGAGCTCCATCGAGGCAGCCTATAGACAGCGCGTGATCATGCACTGCGCCTCTCTAATTGTCCAAAAACTTTCAGAAATTTGCTGCTCATTCGACCCCGCATCGGTTGACATATCCGCTGGTCATATCGCTAACCTGGGATACACCGCTCGGTCTTTAGCCCTCCAAAACCTCGAAAACAGCACCCTACTGACTATTCTAAGCTCTACCAACAATGGAGACATTGGAACCATAAAAAATAATGAAATGTAAGAGAACGATAGTTGACTGTTTTATTTACTGCGGAAGGATGGCTGTAATTCTAGTCACCGTGGACGCGTTGGATCTCCTCCTCACTTGCACGGACTTTCTCTCTGCCGCCTCGCTTGCCTCCACCTCGGAGAAGTCGCAGGATAACATGGATCCCGATGAGACGCGAATCGATTGCACACCGCAGATGGCGGACCTGAGCCTCACTGAAGAGAGGGACGGCAAGGGAATTTGTAGTGAGGGTGGCTCAGTAATACGCCACTTGCGGCGCTGTGGTGATGCACTGCAGCGGGGTCTAGAGACGCCACACCTCGCGAATATGCTGGCACTCGTTTTTGTTGTTGGAACTGGTGATGGTAGCTGTGAAGGGGCCTTCTCCTCCCGGGCCGTTGTCCTTCGTCTCATGAGAATCGCCCTCAGTTTGCAGAATTTCTCAGTTTCTTCGTATGTTTCTCAAATGTGTTTCGTTCTTATTTGACTGTTTCTTGTTTTTTTGCAATTATTAAGCTATTAAATAAGTTGGAACAAGGAGAGAACTGATTTAGTATTCATTTTGAACGTGACGCTAAGGAACTTTGCAAACGTCTCAACAAACCTCGAAGTCAATTTGTAGGTAATTTCGTAAAATATCACTTCATTAAACTCGCAAATAGAGCTTAAATTCGGCGGTTTGCCTAGTTAAAACGAACCATTGATATATGCGCAGCTATTTCGGCCTTGTCCCATAACTCACTTATTCACAATGCTAATCTGGTGATCATCGCGATGGTCACTTCAGCCGAAAATTGAAGTTCTTTTTTTGGTAAGGTCACAATTCATCCCGCTATAAATGACAGGATGTTGGGGCAGAATTTCACTTAAGCCGTTTACTTGAAGGAAGTTATTAGTGTTTTGCAAATATTCAGAAGTTTAGCGTGATAGTTTTAAACGTACTTCACTGTTAGTTTACCCATTGAATTGACTCGAGATTCGTGGTGCTGACTCACTATTCTGTCACCAATTTCTGCTGCATGTTGGGGACCATTGTGCCGACATGTCATCTGTTGTTGAAATGGATCATTTCCTCCTCTTTTTCGATCATCTTCGGATTTGCCACTAAGGGCCACTTTTTATCCTTTCAAGTAACTATTTTTACTGTTTTAGGCCTCTGTACCTAAGCAATTTATGCAAATCATTGACCACTTTTAATGGGTACTTTTTTCTGCAGCATTTCTTCCACTTCCCCTTCCGAATGTTGGTTATTGTCTCGAGTTTCAATATCTCATACCATTGGTAGATACCATCGCCGCTGATGTTCCTTTTCCCATTTTGTGCTCCCATTAGATTTCTGTCCACCCTGAACAGCCTCATACCACCGGGGTGTAGGTCGATTGAGGATTATGTAACATCACGGCTATTGCTAGCCACGAAAGAGAAAGAGTCCGAACCCACCGGTCACGTGGCCTTCATTTCTGAGTGGATAGCCGCTACGCAATCGCGCTTTCCTACCAGTCGGCAGGACAAAACTACCTGCTCGTCTGGCACCTCTCGCCACCACTCTGAAGCCACGCTGAACAGGCTCTGTGCGGCACTGGATAATACCTCTCTGTCATTTGTGAGTCTCCCTTTCCCCCTTGCATATGCATTGGTCCTACCTCCCTTTTCTTCTCTCCTTTGTAGGCGAGCATTGCCGGATCAGAAGCCATGACGATTTGTCAGCAAAAGATTGAAGTTCTCCAGGTAACTTAATCTAAGCATATTGCCGTTTGTGATTTGACTTCGTGGACGGATTTATCTTTGTATCATCGTGTAACTCGAAAGTGATTTTGCAGGCCTATTTTACGTAAATAATATGTTATGTTGAATTGCATGTATGTACAGTATGTGTGAGGGTGCCGGAAGACCCATTTTTTAGAGAAGCGAACAAAAATGATGAATTTTCTGTTACTCCTCTGTCTGTCCACATTTGACCAATTCTTTCTTTGTGATTAGAATTTAATATGCAATAATTAAACGTCGGTGAGTATTTATACAAGTAGGGCTGGGCTATTCCCTTCACACAAAAAGCGATCTAATGTGCTTTATGAATTGTTGATATTCTAAATCGTCTTCCTCTTGCAAAAGGGTAGTAGTTCTTGAAGATCATTCTGATTAATTCACCAGCTGCCCATCCGATCAGGATTTGAGAGGATCATTTGATCCATCTTTTTTACTTTCCCTTTCACTGGACCAGTCGCAAGAGGCGGTGTTGGAAGCGGAGGTGGCGGCAAAACGCGAGGCGCTACGCACGTCAGACGCTCTGGCGGAACACTTTCGATCGCGCGCTATCACCGCTGAGGCGGAGGTCGTGCGGCTGCTGCATCTTCAAACCGTCGCCCTCGCCAACGTCGAGTCCCACCGCGCCTCCTTAGAAGCTCAACGGGATCAAATCTCTCGGTGTGTTCCCCTTCAGCGTTATCTGGGCACATTGCCATGCCTTGTCGTTAACAGCGTTATTTATTTCAAATCGGCATAATGATTCTTCCAAATAGGGTGGAGTCAATGCTACTTATTGATATAAGTAAACACTTTAATTTCAAATTACACATCAATGCCCTTTGTTGCTGGTTATTGCGACTCAAAAATTTCCCTTGTTATGTAAATTGTACTAACTCATTTGTTGGGAAGGCCAGGAATTTGATTGAACAGTGGAGATATTTATAAATTAGAAAGCCTGTCTGGAAGTAGCTTAAGGATTAGCTAGTTTGGCGGATTCGTGGACTCACTGTTAAACTATTTTTTTCAAAAAGATTCACATAATTAGGCTGTGAATATTCCATTCTCCAAGTTTTGAAACCGATTTGCTAATCCATCATTTTGAAAGTTACTCAGGAAAGAATGACTGTAACTAAGGAAAAGGAATGTAAGAACTGATTGGAAAGGGGATCGTTAAATTTGTCATAGGAAATTTATTGCAATTGATGCTTGCCTATAAATGCGCGAATTTTCTAATCTGAATGATATGCGCTTTTAAGCCGCCCATACGCTCATAAGGGCGCTCGCTCGCCTAGGGCACCAACTCGATTAGAAAAAAAAATTAGCATAAGTTTCCCCACACTTGTTTATTGGTTTTGTTGGGCTTCGTGATGATCACTTTTGTGTTTGGTGTACAGGCTTGTTTGTTTGCGTTTCCATGACCCTTCACCAAGTCTGTCCATCTTTGTTATGTGTGCTTGTGTGTAATTTGCACTCTTTTTTTGTGAAAATTATTCTTTTCCGTAAGCACGCTTGTACCGAAATTTGAATTGAATGTGTGAGGTACATTACGCTCTATTTTGTAATAAATTCAGCGTCCATTTTTTTGTAGCCTTGAAAGCGAGAATGGGCGTCTTTCTTCTGAGTTGTCCTCCAAACAAAAGGAGTATGAGAGTATGTGTCTTCCTAATCGAATCCTACTTCAAATGTCTTACACCTCATGCTCGGGTTTCTCTTTTTCCCTTGAAGGTTTGCAGTCGGCCAAGGAGAGCCTGCAGAACAGGCTGACGAGCATGCGTGAGCAGAACAGAACTATGGACGCGACTATCGACAACTTTAGAAAACAGTTGGATGAGGCAAAGCAAATCATTCAGCAAAAGGATGCCGAGGTATGTCTGTTGACAACCACACGGCCTGTGTTACTGCTATTAGTGGTCGAGATAATAGCCTAGTTAAGGATTTCCTTTGCATTTCTGGAGGATTATGCGAATGTCGCCTTTTTTAGATTCAACAGTACACTCATATGACTCGCATTATCAACGAGTTGACTGGCAACCGGGTTCAACCAGCGAATGCTTCAAATTCAAAAAACCCCATTTAGTATGTTGCACTACGTTCGTTTCCACTTTTATCAACTTTGAATCTTTCTACTATTGTAAAATACCATTTTGGATTTAATTGGTCCTTTGGCCGGACCTTTTGGCCGTTGGACATTTTCAATCTTCCACGATTCGATGTCCTTTCTGGTGATGTGCTTCCATCCCTCCCCTCTCCTTTTCATTTGAACCTTCGGATCTTCTGTATGGCTGTAAAATTATTTCCAATCTTGAATGTCTTGCAGTATCTCCAGGTTAACTTGGATGCTGTAGTGTTGACTGAGCGACGTCTTTCGCCGTATGCAATGCAAATGCTAGAACCCATAGCCAAACGCCTCGATTGGATATTCTGGGAAAAGTTTCCTAGAGGGAAGACATCATTCGTAGGCGGTTAAGGAGAAAGCCGATGAAAGTACCTCAGCGGGTTGACAGCTATCCAAATTTTGGGTTCCACAGTGTGAGGATTGCTGAGTCGCGTCCTGCATTAGCGAGGACAGATTCGGTCACAAGCGGAATGAGTAAAGCTTCTTGGCCTCTTAGTTTCACTGTTAAAACCGACTCATACTAGCAGTTGGAAAAGGTTTAATGAAAGATAAAGGAGTGCTTAAGCTGGAATGAGGTTGAAAGTGCATCTTGCGCGATGGACTTCGTTAGGTAAGTTTAGGTAGGTGTTCTTACGCCCTGCGAATGGCATCCTGGGTGAGCTCGTGGCGACACGCTGCCTTTGGTCTAAGCTTTAGCTGCACTGTGTCTGTGCATTTATAAAATGGTAATCTTAAGTGTGCGTGCAACGGTGTTTGTATTTTAGAGGATTACTTCTATCGACGTATTAATCGAGGAATACGCTCAAATGGAGTGCTGAGTCGCACAACTACATTTGATGCTGGATACAGTTTCACCATTTTATAAAAATAAAAAATTTATCAAAAGCGCTCTCCGCCTGATGATGATGCAAAGACAAGTCTCTGGTCTTTGGACCATGCAAATTTGTGTAAGATCTCAACAGTTAGTTCCTTTAACACTCAACTGCTTGGATCTGATACAAGGCGTAAAACTTTGTCTACTCGATAGTTTCTACCCAAGAAACCTTGGCCTCAAAATTTATGTGACAACTTTGATTCATGAATGCATCAAATGCTTTGTTTGTTTGGTGAAAGAATATAAGTTGAGTAGTGCAAAAACAATGCATATCGGATGGTAGATTGTTTGTCTGGGGAAATCCATGACACTGCTTCAACCTAATGTTTGAAGAAATCTTGTATCCTGCTACTGAAGCCCCGATGTCGACAGACCTAAGGACGATTCACTGATTCGAGACTATATAAGAAAACTTCAAATTGAATGGGAAATACGTGTGTCTTGATTTACGCTAACAAAAGAAGTGACGTTAATGGCGTCACGAGCTGAGCATGCTATGGAGCGTAACGGTAATCCATGATAACGTTAAAGGACAATCCGATGTTGACTCATTTAGAAGTTCAAAAATATTGCAAATTGACCGTTATTTACTTAAAAGATAAGAATATAGGCGATTAGGAATACACCATTGGAAAGAAACCATTTTAGCGACAAAATGAACTGAAGTGCAAGAGTGCGGTATACAAGTGATTGGGCACTTTTAGATGGGTATAAGTAAGGGGGATGCGCATGATTATTGTTATGCTTCTTCCTCTTCTTCATCAAATTCCCCCTCTTCCTCCGCAGTAGCCTCCTGATATTGTTGATACTCGCTCACTAAATCATTCATGTTTGACTCGGCCTCAGTAAACTCCATCTCATCCATACCCTCGCCCGTATACCAATGCAAAAATGCTTTACGACGAAACATAGCAGTGAATTGCTCACTTATACGCCTGAAAAGTTCCTGTATGGCCGTACTATTGCCAATAAAAGTTGCGGCCATTTTCAGACCACGAGGTGGGATGTCACAGACAGCGGTTTTGACATTGTTTGGTATCCACTCAACAAAATAGCTTGAATTTTTGTTTTGTACATTCAGCATTTGTTCATCGACCTCCTTCATTGACATCCGACCACGGAAGATTGCAGCAACAGTTAGGTAGCGTCCATG